TATCTTTGCTGTCACCAAGTTTTCTAAGAGGGAAAGTTCATTGATAATCTGTCTTTTAAAAATAGCATTTCTTTCTGAAATCTAACATCAGTTTTTATAACTTTTTCATTTACTCACCTCAAAACAACTACCTTGCCTCATCAGTAACAATACAAAAGTGACAGTAATGTGGTTTTTTAGCTTTAAAAAAAAATTTGTGTAGCATCTTCTCATAAAAGCACTGTTCTGTTTTTTTTGGATTAGGACTAAACCCCATGGATAGTTCTATTGGGATTGGTTCCTTTGGAACCTCCATAATTATTTCTTTTCTTTCCATATGTTCAGAACCATGTGCAGAGGAGAAAATTCCATCCTTGGACAGTTAAAAGCAGAGCGTAAGTATCTACTTTTCTTTTCCTCCATGTTTGTTTTAGTGACATATTAGTAACCATGAATGTTTCCACAGTGTGATTATAAAATTCTGTTCACAAAAGGTATTTCACAAAATGCTTAACAAGGGTAAATTACTTTTTCTCATTTAATTGTCCAAACCAGTGTTCAAATGAAGACAATATATTTTGAGATGCACAGGTAATAAAAACTAAGAGTATTTTTATTATTTATTTTTATTTATTTATAATAATTGTCTTGATAATAAGTGGGACTTGTAAGGCACTTCACAAGGACCCTATATGTGTCTTCTATTATGATCCTTCACTACAGTCCTGGGTAGTAAGCAGGACAGGTGCGATTCCTGCTGTAAAGATGAGGACATACATGCTACAAGGTTAGCAGGTATTTATGTGGCCTCCTATAAATGTAGAAGTCCCATGGTCTAAATCTTTGAAGGTATTATACTGCAAGTAAATAAATAAGAAAAAAACACAGTAATGTCTTTCACTTTTGTAATTCTTCATATTTTCAAAGGCACTTTCTCAGGTATCTTCTTAACTGATCCTTCGACATAGTTCTTAACTATAATTTATTGGAACTATGGGTTTACTTATTTATATCTCTGTGAACTGACTCTGAGCTCAGTACATAGTAGGTGCTCAATAATGTTCTATACCCTGTACAACAGGTTTGTAGGATTCCACAAGAAATAAGCTGGGGCCAGAACCCAACTTATAGGCCCTTCAGTTCAGATTGGGTCCAGATTGTGAAAACTTTGAGTGCCACATTAAAAAGACTAGATTTTATCGAAAAGAAGACAAGATGAGGTTGATGGAAGCCTGTGATTCCTGGAATGAACTCATCAAACTGGTATTTATATGAAGATTCACTTGTTGTTGGTAAACAAAGTAGAGAAAGACTCGGGGCAGGTGAGAGAGAATGGTGCATTGGTAACGGAGAGAAAGGTTATATATGAATAAGACTGTGAAGGAAGACTTGAGGGCGTGTGGGAACAGAGAGTAAGGGAAATGTAAGATAATCCTAAGAGTTTCAACCCAACTGACCAGGAGAATGGAGCTGCCACAGGAAGGCCTGGAAGAGTCAAGAGGAGTCATCACAATCAGGATGCCATGTGGTATGGCCTTCAGATGTGCTAATAACATCAACTGAGTTTTTTGAAGATTTTATGCACTGGATAATATATCAAAATGTGGGGAGAAAACATTATTCCTTCCATGTACAAGTATGTGTATTTTTCACTTAAAAATAATTAAGGCATCAGTAAGAATGTCATAGTAAACATCTCCAAAAATTCACTCATACATAAAAGCAACAAAAACACTCACAGAAGTTGTCTAAGTCACCTTTTTCAGGACTCTGGAAATTAACCAAAGGCTTGCAACAATCTAAGGTGTGTTTATTCAAGAAAGACAGCAGAATCTTGGTAAAAGCAGCAAGTTTTGGGGCATTTTAATTTGCCATATACTTGTCCCTCTCTCCTCAGTTGCACAGTAGCCTTGAAAACCAAATCATCACTGTGAAAAACAGCAGCCTAGCAGCCACTGGAAGGAGCCAAATGGGTTTGAAGCTCCCAACCCCTGACAACTCTGAGAATTGTCAGAATTTGACCTTACAGTTTGAAAGTCTTTAAAACAGCTAGTTTAACTATCTTCAAAGAACTAAAGGAAATGATAGCCAAAGAATTAAAGAGAAGTATAAAAACAATATCTTCTCAAATAGAGAATATAAAAATATAAAATTTCTTAAATTCAAACTTTCCATAAAAGTTCTTTATATATATATATATATATATATATATATATATAAATGAACCAAATATACATTTTGGAGTTGAAAAGTATAAAACTGAAATGAAATGCATGTTAGAGGGGCTTATAGCAGATTGGAGCAGACAGAAGAATTAACAAGCTGGAAGATAGGTCCATTGAGAATATCTACTCTGAGGAAAAGAAAGAAAAATATGGAGAAAAATGAACAGAGCCTTAGAGATATGTAGAATATCATCAAGCACATCAATGTACACATAATGGGAGTACCAGAAGAAAAAAAAAGAGAAAGAAAGAAAATAGAGTATTTAAAGAAATAACAACTGAAAGTTTCCCAAATTTGATGAAAAACATGAATCTACACATCCAAGCTCAACAAAATCCAAGTAGGATGAACTTAAAGAGATCCACACCAAAACACCTCATAATCAAACGAATAATGAAAGACAAGGACAAAAAAGCAGGATGAAAGAGCAGGAGAAGCCAATCACCCAGTACAAGCGATCTTCAATAAGAGTAACAGCCAGTTTCTCATCAGAAACCATTCTGTCATTTTTTTCCTTAATAATGTCCATTGGAACAAAAAAGCTTTTATGTTTGATAAAATCTAATTTATCTATGCTTTTGATTTTTGGTGTAAAAGTCAAGAAACCATTGCTTAATCCATTATGGAAGAAAATGTGTGCAAATCATATATCTGATAAGGGATTGGTATCCTGAATATATAAAGAATATTTGCAAGTCAACAATAAAAAGAAGAATCCAATTTTTAAAATGGGCTAAGGATCTAAGTAGATATTTCTCCAAAGAAGATATACATAATGGCCAATAAGCACATGAAAAGATGCTCAACACCATTAATCATTAGAGAAATTCAAATAAAAACCACAAGATACAACTTCAGATCCAACCAGGATGGTTATAATTAAAAAAACATAAAAGGTATTGACGAGGATACGGAGACATTGGAACCCTCATACATTGCTGTTGGGAATTCAAAATGGCACAGCCTCTTTGGAAAGCAGTTTGGTAGTTTCTCAGAAATTAAATAGGGTTGCCATATAACCCAGCAATTTTTTTCCATAGTATATACCCAAGAGAGTGGAAAACCCATGTCCACACAAAGACTTCCACATGAATATTTATAGCAGCATTATTTATAATAGTCCAAAGTGGAAACAACCCAAATATCCATGAACTGATAAATGTAGAAACAAAATGTGTATATGTTTATTTAGATATTAAAAGGAATGATCTGATGCATGCTACAACATGGTTGAACTTGAAAATATTATGCTAAGTGAAAAGAAGCCAGACACAAAAGGCCACATATTGTATAATTCCATTTTGTGAAATGTTTTAACAGGCAAATCCATAGAGACTGGAAAGTAGATTACTCATTGCCAGCGCCTGAGGAGAGAGTGGAATGGAGAGTAACTCCTAATGAGTATGGCATTTCTTTTGGGGATAATAAAAATGTCTTAAAATTAGATAGTGGTGTTGATTATACAGCCTTGTGAACACAGTTTTAAAAAACACTGAATTGTACACTTAATAGGAGTGAATTTTATGGAATATGGATTTTCAAATGATTTGGAAGCTTTAAAATAATGAATTAAGTTTTTAGTACATGTATATAATTTGTGTGTGTGTGTGTATGTGTGTGTGCACGCACACACGCACACGCATTGAATGTACAGTAATTTTTCACTAATGGGCTTCTCAGTGTGAAAAACTTGAGAAACAGCTTTCGACGTAAGACATGTACGTCATCAATAATAAGTACTTTCAAAAGTTTTATCTAATTGCATCTAGGACAGAGAGGATTTACCAGAACATTATCGCTATCTCGATTTTCTAATGGCTTAAAATAAAGATGACAGAGAATGAATAAGTCTGTAAAGGATTTATCGATAAAACAAAATCAGGAAAGCCATTCAGCACTTGACAGTGGCTAGTAAAATGCAAAGGTGAGATTATAGGAGAATAAAAAGCCAGAACAAGTCTATTTAGTTTCTCAACCATAAAAATGGCCTGAGCTTACTATAAAGCATTTCCTTTGGCTCTGGACCCTTTTCCTGCCTTTGCCTATTCAGGGGAAAAATTGGATTTTAATACAAGAAGTGATTTCAATGTTAAGCCCTGTTATGAAAAGATTTCCAAGTACCCTGGAAACAAGTCAAAATCAGTCATGTCAGTGGGGAAAATGTTCATATTCTAAACAGAGAACAGATTAATTACATAATGCCCTTTTTTTGAGGTAAACGTTCTATTGTTGGTTTTGTTCTTGTAAATGAGTTAGTGGGTTTTAAATACATGAACTAGCTAATCTCTAATTGGATAGAGAACTATAGTTCTTTACTGTTTCAATTCTTTAGAAATAACAAAACTGCTGCTGTGAACATGTGACAATTCCTGAAGAGAAACCCATCAGCTGTTAGTGTGTAATTATCTGCTACTCCAAATCTTCAGGGATTTAGTGTTTCAAGTATTTCTTTATCACTTTTATAATTTTTTGTGAATTACAACATTTTAGCAGCCAATTTAGTGCAATTTAACAGAAGGCCTAGCAGTATTCAGTCAGGATTAGAAATGTATGTATGTGAAGTGCTACAAGTTTTCAAGTAACGAAAGCCTGTAACAGCTCTTGAAGTCCTTCCACAAAATGTTCTTAGAAACATCAAGTCTATTATATTGAATTTCTCCTCTTTTGAGGTACATCTATACCAGTACTTATAACAGATATGTCCTAGGGGCCTATATAAACTTCCAGGTTCTCAATGACATATAGTTCCCATGACATATAATTTGGACACCTCCCTGATATTTTTTTTCTATTGCTTCATATTAATACTTGTACATGCTTCTGGAATTTTCATGTTTTCTTCAAAGGACACTTGTTGCCTCAGTATATCCTCACACAAGTTAACCTCACCTATTGCTTGTTGAGTCAGTTTTCTTCACAGAATGAAGTACTGGCTGAAACAGGTTTTCAACTTGCTTTTTCTTCTTTTCACGTAGAGTGCGTGGTGGATTTATTCAGAGCATAGATGGATGTGACAGGCCACATTTGAAGTCCTCCAGAATGTCCGCTTTCTGGTTAGGAACCCTTTCTTTCCGGTCCTGTGACTGGAACTAATCCTTAACTTTCTTCTTAAAGGCAGTTTTCACAAAGAAATAAAGTTTTTATCACTTCATAAGAGCTATTTTATAGT